AGAAGGCTATAATATATTGTCTAATCCAGTAAAAGCTCCCGAGCCTTCAATGACCTGTGTCTAGATGGAAACTTATATTTACCGCTTTTCAGACTATTGGTCTTTTTCCAATAACACTATGCCACGTGGATCGCAGGTTAGCGGTGTTATTTTACTCTGTAAGTTGATGCTGCTATAATAATGCTATATTGGCATCCTCAAGACATTGTGTGCCCTCCATATCTCTTTCTATTATTTTTAGGATCACATCTTGCTGTAACTGTTAATGATTCGCATAATTTGAAATGTTAAATACATGTTGCCATGGTTGACAAGATATCTTTAAAGATGATAGTTTAGAAATTTCAATATAATAATGATTTTAAAAAAAGCCACAAACATAGTTTCGTGCGATGTCTACATTTGTCAATGTTCCGACGACTCAAATGCAAATGCTTGTGATATATAAGTAAAGTGACAATCAAGCCAACTTTTGTTAAGTGATTGCAGGCAGATATTTTATAGGGATACATAGACTTTAAATTCATCAGGGAAATTTTATGGTCGTTACATCGAACTACTGGACAAATATTACAAATCTGTTTCTTGCATCTTGGCTGGTTTGAGTGGTTCAGACATAAATATATCAGGTTAGAGTGGCGGGTGTCGCGCCCGAAGCAGACTATGCTTACTCGTTTCGAAACATCTGATGGTACTTCTCTTTGTAGGAGTCCACTCTCGATTTTGCCATGTTTTGGATGAGATTTTGAAATCGTCTTGTTTTTTTTTTTTTTTTTATTTATTCGCCATTACAGTCAACAGATCAATTTCAGCTATCCATATCAATTTATAATCTTGACCAGCTTCTTCTGCAATTGAGCAAACAAGCACCACTCTACTTAGACTATATAGTACTTCCAGGGAGTTGAAAGTATTCGAATAAGCAGCTGTTGTAAATGAATTCATAATTTTGATCATAATATCTGCTTCTAACTTCGAGAAAGTGACGATGGCAATATTTTTACGTTTGAAGCACATTCACAATATCAAACTATTAAGAACTTCGTACTTATACCTTGACTACAAAAGTCACTATTCTTGTTTCACGGATTTCAGCGATCTGATTGGATTATACGTAAGCGAATACAGCGAATCAGATCCCTCGACAAAAATGCTGTAAACATTATGTCTTGGTGTTCACAGTTTTTCGGATCTGAGTGAAAGTATTCGCTAGAGTACACATTAATGTATTTAAAAATAACACTTGCCTTTTTTGGGGGTGGGGGTGGGGGAGGGGGTTGCAAGATTGTATTTAAGGGGATGGGGCTATTACAATCAAGGTATACGTCAAAAGTTCGTAATAGCTTTGTGACATTGTGAAGAAGCGTTTATGGTAGAACCAGAACAATGATTTTAATGTAAGTTCAATAAAAAGCTGAAATTGAGCTTTCATTATTGTTAAATATATGCATTTGTTATATGAAAGATAAAGAGTAAACTTAATGTCAATTGTATTTAGCTTATAAAATATCCTAAACTGCTGATATTTTTCTGTATACATAATTCAGGCATCCTCGGGCGGTGCCTTTGATGTTGGAAGTTAATTCATTTGATGTTTGTAACTAACTGTGGGTGTTTAAATGATATTGTTTTTAATTATTAATTTGTTAATTAGCAATAGCTTATGTCTCTTGGGTTAGAAATTAATTAGTTTAAATAATTACAGTTGTCAGCTAAATATAGGCAATAGTCCTTCTAGTGCTGAGTTACTGACGATAAGACTCAAAGAAAAAAGAACTAAAATAGTAATGGAGGTTCTGCGTCTATGACCAATGCCTCTTTTACAAATAGCTTCATTTTAATCTGAGAATTTATTAAGGATTTCCCAATCCGATTATAATACAACCAGATGTTTTGAATTAGATGCAACTGCGCAATACAGAAAAACAATCCGCACAAGCAAAAAATTAGCTTAACCAAAAAAAAAAAAACTCATCCAAAGCAGGGCAAAATCGAGATCAATAAATGTATAATAGTGGACTCCTCAAACAAGAATTACCATCAGGTGTTTCGAAAAGAGTAAGCAGTAAGTAAGACACCCGCCATTACTATATAGGTGAAAATCATGAGATCAATTCATGTTTGACAAAAGAAATACAGAAAAACAATCCGCACAAGCAAAAAATTAGCTTAACCAAAAAAAAAAAAAACTCATCCAAAGCAGGGCAAAATCGAGATCAATAAATGTATAATAGTGGACTCCTCAAACAAGAATTACCATCAGGTGTTTCGAAAAGAGTAAGCAGTAAGTAAGACACCCGCCATTACTATATAGGTGAAAATCATGAGATCAATTCATGTTTGACAAAAGAAATCTACCACAAAACAAGAAGTAGGTTTGTCGTACTTGAGAAGGAGTTCCCCATCATCATAATAGTTGTGAAATGCCATAAGCTGGAGATTATGGTATGCTACTGCACCTGAATGGAAAAAGGAAAATACTTTCTACTAATTGATTTTCATGGACATTATCGATAATTTTAGCAGACTAGATTGAGTAGGCTGGCTGCATTCATGTGACCAAAAGAGTTCTTTGTAGAGTTAACCTCATGGCAAGATTTAATTGTTGAATTCTTGGATTTGGTCATTGGATCAGAGATTAGAAAAATGATATGAAATGGATGGAATTTTACGTCTTACTTTTCTGTACCATGTGGGCTAATGAAGACAGGCAACACCAGACCGGGTGCAATGAGGGACATTTTGTTAGGAAAGCAGCATTAGCCTGCTCTTCTTTGATGTCCAACTGTCGAGGGACCTTTAACGTTTACAGCCTGTAGCACACACAGGTCTCGGTTTGTTGTCCCATTTTTCCATGTCAGCCCCTCTTATCTGACAGGGGGAAACCGAGGTATTATCTCGACCTATGCCGGGATGGAACCCTGGATCTTCAGGTTAGCGAGCAAGCGTCTAACTCACTGAGCTGAATGTGGTATGCCCTCTCATATCCGCTGATGTGGTAAAATCTATATTTTAATCAGAAATAGTGTTATCTGCCTTTAATGTAATTTTATATCCAAAATAAAAACATTTTGAGCACTAAACTATAACGCATTTTCATTAATTTGATTTGTAGAGCAGATATTTTTACAGTAATGATATAGTAAACAATCAAGTTGAAATGTTCTCAATCAAGATTGTTTGTAAATTTTAGTATACTTTGAAAATAATAAGCCAAGATTTAAAAAGAAACCAGATGGGAACAGGATGTAGAAATGAGAATTTTAAATTAAAATATGAAATTATGAGAAATATTGATGTGATGTTTTAATATAGATTGTAATAATGTTTATTATAACGGATGAAACCTCTTATATCTTATGAACACTAATAAATTATATGCTTATATTAGTTCTTAAAGGAGTACAGTCTTCTATTTTGGTTTGCTCATGTAGTTGAAGTTAAAAAATGGAGGTTTGGAGCAATCAGATATCTCAGATAATGGTATAACATCCTTGTCTCGAATGCTAAAATTGCTATAGCACTTTTAGTTTTCATCCAATTCCAAAAAAACTTTATAAACACTGGTAGGTCGTGATGAAATATGGTGAGATATATTAGTTCCTTTTCTGAGATTGGGTGCTTAAGACTAATATATGTTTATCTTTATACTTAATTTAAAAAGTTATTTCATATAAATCACTCCAAATCCACCTACATTTTTCTTTAAATTAATAAAAGAATGCGTAGTAAGGTTCAATAATTTTTCAACTTTTTCATGACCCTTCTCGAGCCACCCAGAAACTTAAATTGGTTTTAACGCCTTATATGTGTTTAATTACCAGTCTTGCTACCGTGTATAGTCCTCAGGGAGGCAACGCAACTCAACAGTTCAAGACGTAGCTCGTTATTGTCTCTGTTGAAGTCTGCTACACATATATCGATGGCAGATGTCGTCCAACAGTGTTAAAAAATAGCATCTAGTTTTTCCTGAGGTAAAGATTTTGCAAAATTTGAAGCTGAAATAATCCTAAACAGACTTAATTGAAACATTGATTAAAGTACTATTTTAATAGAGGCTAGTTGGTCCGAGAAACTATTATAGGTCCGAGCTATCAATCAGAATGTTTCCGATTCCTCCAAAAACTTGTGTGATTGGTGTAGGGTATATTGTGCAATTGTCATTTTTTTAAGAGACGCCCATTTATACGAAAATAGAAGCTATAGAAGTTTTTCACACCAGATTACAAATCACGAATTCTATTACTAAGTGATAAGGTCCCTAAAGTAAATTCATTCTTCGTTGAAAAGCGTTTTTCCAGGAAGATTTTAACTTCACAGCTGGATGAGAGTGGAAATGTTCTATTTTGTCTTAGACTTTTGCCAATTTACTGAAAATGACGGAATATATTTCATATAGTTGGCATCTTATGCAACATTTTAAAATGAGATCAACTGTCAAATTGACACTTTCGCTCAAACAGACACGGAATTCAACTTTTTGGGAGTGTCTGTTTGACCAAGGACCAAACACTAATTAGAATTTGATTTAATTCAACCACCAATGAAGCAAAACTGTCTCCGCTCCGCTGTCCTAAAGTCATCAAAATTTATCAAATGCGGAAAGATGCATTTACTGTTGATAAATATCTTTAATGTAATATTTTATCATTACATGTATAAATTTTTCATATACTTTTGCCGCTCGTATATTGGAAACTGATAGTTTTCAAAAGTTTTGAGGAAAAGGTGTTAAGGACGCCGTTTGAGAGTCGAAGAACGTACTCCATTGGCTTGATTAAGAAGATTATCAGATGTTTCACAAAGGGGTTCATCTTCCGATACGAATATGAAATTACTTGCCCTGTTTGGTTTTGAATTTTAGTTGTTGAAAGCTGACGTCTAGGATAAAATATACACTGCTGTGGAATTTAGAGATGCATGTTTATATGTTATTAAAACTGAGAGTGATGTCAGTGTTTTAAATATTAGTGTGTTTTAAATAATTTTGTATATTCCAGGTATATGGCCATCATTCATCCGTTAAAGCCTCGGTTAACAGGACGCATTGTACTCACTATAATCGTTGCTATCTGGATAGCCTCGTTTCTCCTGGCTTTACCTAATCTACTGTATGCTACAGTTTATGATGTTCCCAAACAAGACGGTACTGTCAGGTCAATATGTTATCTGGAATGGCCAGATGGTGGCGCTTCTAAAAGTCTCGCAGCTGATTTGGCGTAAGTACCATTCAATCTTTTACAGCTCACATCATTTTGGAGATCTGGAACAAATGTCGCCTTTAACAGTTAACGTCACTTCCATTTAAATTATCATTCAAAATTGCATACGCCGAGTATGAAATATTGATAAACAATGGCCACAGAGATATAACTGGTGGAAAATTACATTCGTATGTTAATTCAAAATACTTTTTCTCAGGTTCCGCAAGATCATTATCATCCGACTAAATCCCATATTTAATGAGCATCTACTCATAAGAAATGTTTTACTTATTTAAACCAAACTGCGACCGCGATTGAACTGTACAGCGACTATCTGTTTTTACTCAGTTTGAAACTACGTTATTAAATCGAGTACCAAAAAAATACTACATGTGGGTTTATAAAAAACGTGAAGAATTGATATTTGGAGTAAAAGAAAACAGAATTCGTCAAGAAAGTCGATGAAAACTAAACTTCAGATGATAGACGTTATTTGTCGATATTAATCATATCTGATTTATAGAATGTAACAGGGGAAATAGGAGCTAGTTTTATACAATATCAATATTATCTTGAATTAAAAACCAGTAATTGAATTTGTCAGGTTTAAGACTACATGTATTGTACACAGTGTAAGGTATTAAGCTAGTTAACAAAATCCATTATGTACATGTTTAATAAAAGGAAATGTCATGGTTCTCATCAAGGGATATAAACCTGTAATTATATAATTTAGAAGCTGATTGAAATTTATGATTTTAATTCAGTTATCCAATATAAACGAAAAATCTCGTCTTCTGACACCCCCTTTATAATAATAATAATGTGAGAATGAACTGTATTGAGTATTAGTTGTGAAATGGAAATGATTTATTAGGAATATATCCCTTCACGTTAATTCAGAAATTCCATAAACGGAAATGTTATGAATTTTATTTGTATGAATAGAAAAAAAAACTAGGTATGAACATAACGTGAGCTTGAATAACAAAGTGGATCCAGTTTACCTTTAAATTAAAATGCGGTAAACAGAGATTATGGTTAAAAAAACAAGAGGGGGTGGGAATCAACCTCACTCGGCATATTTTTGAGACTGCATATAAGACAAAATCAACAATTTCTATTGTTACTTCACTTCTCTGAAATTTAAATGATCTTTATTTAACACTCAGATATTTTACATTAGGAAAACATCACAACCAATAATTCACTGATGCTAATTTGTAGTGCAAGATTTGCTTTTCAAAATATACTCGAAAGGAAAAAAGACATGGAATATGTAATTTGTATTTAATTAGATATAGAAAAGGGCTTCGAATTAAATCCTTTTTTTATTTGCTCCAATTTCTAAACAGTTCAATAAACGATCCATAAACTGCATGGAATCGCCCCCGAACTTGAAATTTAAATAAAACAGCTATTGATAACGGACTGCCGGGGGATGAACAGGTTATCTTAAGAGCTACTACAAACTCTATTTACATTGACAGAAAGAAAGAGTTGAAATTGTTTTTTAATAAAAACTAAAGTAAACCAAGTGCAATGGTTTGAGCTAATGTAATGTTGTGTTCCTTCTATTAAGAATCATACCAAGGAAATATTTAAATAATAAATTCTATTATTGAAATAATAAAATCTTAGAGGACGCAAATGTTATTGATGGATATAGGAGTCGGCGAGTCCATCCATAATTCCTAGGCCAGATTCGGAAAACGTTCTGTTAGTGGACACGGAATTTAAATAATATTAACTTACAAATACCTTCAGTAACGTAAATGAATGTGAATACTATTTTCCTCCCTATTATGTCATCATGTCAGCCATAAACGTAGGGCCTTTCGATATTTACTTCTTTCAAATTGTAACAGGTTGCATTTGTTTGGTCCAAATCCCCCTCAGACGACTCACAGACGAAGATAACGTCACATACTCGATCATGACAGTGAACATAATCATCATGATGAATAGAACCTTCACATAACGTAAATATCCTGTGATCCTTTGGATATCTTTCTTTCACTTTTTTACGCGAGTCCATCTTTAATGGTACAGCTATTTATTACAGTTATCTAAATGGAAATCAATTCTATATTTTAAACCAGTCTGAATGTTTCCGATATTGTAAATGGAAATATCTCATATAATATTACTATCGAAGCTGTATGAAACCATTGAACGATGTAGTTTTTATTAGCGTTTTTTTTTTCAGTGAAATCTAAAAGAATTAATAGAGTAGTGAATCAAACTGCTTTAAGCGCATGCAAAAACGCGCCCAGAACATGATTAGATTAGTTGCCATCTTAATTGTATGAAATTTGTCTAAAAATGTTATTTTCTTTGAGTGAATAAGTAAAATAAATTAAATTCGTTTTCAAATATTATATATTCATAATTCAGCTGCTACTGGCATTTATTTACATCTATTTAATTGATTGATTTTGTGAATATTGACAAATGCAGAAATTGCCAGAAAAGTACAATTTTTGCAACGCTTGTTTACAATTTTTTTCGCCCTTTAATTTATCCTCTAAGAAGTACTTGATCATATCTAACAGTTGCAGACCAAACCTCTTTCTCGAATACCCACACCCATTTACAACATGATCAACTGAAATGAAGGCATATTTCTTTCGGTTAACTTTTCATTACAATATTTTCAGCTGACAAACAATGCTGAACGTTGAACATACTTTCCAACTTAGTTCGAACTGCTACCTGTTGCAAAGTAAGATACGCCCATTTACCAAAAACAATTTGTAATTTAAAGATGCGTTTGGTGCAGAGATTCCAAGGCTGCGATTACATGTTCTTTCAAACTCAAACGAAAACTCAATAAGAATTGGACCAGAGCAAACCCTATCTAAATTCTTAGAAAATCCAATTACCTGCTTACTTGTGTCCTAAAATACCTTGACCAAGTACAACGGATGGCTCGGTTAGCGATTTTTTTCGTTTGTGGATGACTACGGACAGCTTTATCCCTTTGACATCATTGTTGTGGGGGACTTTCCTCTCCTCCTTTGTTTACTGACCCAATACAGCTCACCTTATACATTGACGGTTTTGCGGAATCGTAGTAAATACACATGTAATCACGTTTTGAGTTTGAGTTTGAGTTACGCTTACGTACACATGACGTAATCACAGCCAAATTCATTCAATATACTGTCACTATAAAGATACACACTTAATTTTAACCAATAATCATAACGCCGTCAATATTTTACAAATCGTACTCAAATTCGAATTTGTATATTATGATCTTGTGGTAGTATACCTAAGTACTAAATTTGATGAAACTCTGACAACAACTGTGGTTTCTATCACAATGACATGCCAGCGACTTGTGGAAGGAGAGAGGTGAGATTACAATGTGGGCGTACAAAAGACAAGAGTTGATATTTCTTTCTTACAAAAATACATTATAGTAAAAACTGTACTTCTAGAAAAGTCTTGTTTGAGAATAAACTTCAATTACACACATTGGTATCAAATTTCACTACTTCTATCATCTGCTTTATTTCAACTTCATTCATAAAAATAACATGAAGGAGATGACGTCATGGTGTAATAATGATAATGAAGAAGGCAGGTAGTAATTGTCTTGCAGTATAGTTCCTGAAGTAAAGTAATTAAATATGGTACCAAATATACAGAATTTATTTTCATACTTAATATATCTCTATAATTAGTGCGCAGTTAGTCAGATTTCGACTGTTTTCAATTTATTTTAGCACCAGGTATGTTCCCTACTGTAATTAACTCTAACTTACGTCTATAAAAAAATGACGCCAACAAACTAGGAGACAACCCAGGGGGGGGGGGGGGGGGGCTTAAACTTTTTCCCCAAAAATCTTGGAACAAGCTAGGGGACACCTCCATATAAACCCTGTAACAAGCTAGGGGGCACTTCATATAAACCTTGTAACAAGCTAGGGAAAAATTTATATAAACCTTGTAACAAGCTAACAAAACTATCCATATAAACCTTGTAACAAGCTAGGGGACCCTTCTTATAAACCTTGTAACAAGCTAGGGAATAATTTATATAAAACTTGTAACAAGCTAGGGGACACTTCATAGAAACCATGTAACAAGATAGGGGACACTTCATATAAGCCTTGTAACAAGCTTGGAGACAATCCATATAAACCTTGTAACAAGCTAGGGAATAATTTATATAAACCTTGTAACAAGCTAGGGGACACTTCATAGAAACCATGTAACAAGCTAGGGAACACTTCATAGAAACCATGTAACAAGCTAGGGAACACTTAATATAAACCTTGTAACAAGCAAGGGGACACTTCATATAAACCTTGTAACAAGCTAGGGGACACTTCATATAGACCTTGTAACAAGCTAGAGAATAATTTATACAAGCCTTGTAACATGCTTGGAGACAATCCATATAAACCTTTTAACAAACTTTGAGACAATTCAATTAAAAATCCATATAAATCTTGATATCAGGGAGAATTGAGGCGAAGGTTCGCTACTTCGACTATAAAGTGTTGAAAAGTATTTTGTTTTTAAAACAACAGCTTTAAGATAATTTTATCTTTATCTATCACAGATGTAATTATCACAGTGAGAATAAAACCACATAAAACTTTTAAACTTAAGGGTGATTTAAAAAAGGCTGTTGATTTGCTAGACAAATTTCCGATGTGTCAGAGCCAAGTAATCAAACTTCAAATGGACTGGCCTCTTCAGACGCTTTTATTTTTAAATGTTTTGTGGATTGAAAACATTCGAATCTACTTAATTGTCACACACAAGTGAGGATAATTTTAACGATTGAAGAGCCGTTTAAGATCGAGTATAAATTTTAAAACCATTGTTATATAGCAGACATCTTATTCTTAGCGGTAAGATTGTTGCTTTTGTTGCTGGAGATCTTCACTACACGTCACGTCTAAGCAGTATTGGCATTTGTGGTGGGTAAAAGTGTTTCTTCACAATTCCAGATCGAGATGTAATCGAGTAGACGAAGAGTAGCTCTTCTTAACACCGATAACTTCGTTTTCATTGAGCCAAATACAAAATTAGAGAGTCATTAATGTCAAAAAATGGCCGAAAAAGACTTTTGGTATGATTTTGAAGGCATTATATAATACTATCGCCTCTGTTGATTGGATCATCTTACAGATTAATGCCCAATCACTTGATCTATCTCACAAGATGGTGAAATGCCATATATCTATAAACCAGCACATCCTTTCTTACCGTAATCGGATTATTCAAAATGGTGACAAAAGAGATTGAACTATAGGCTTAACCATCAATCACTAAAATAATTTAAATATCTTTTCTTCTTGTATATTGAATATATCAGATTATCACTTCACTTTGAATTTCTTGGGATATAAAACACATTAAAGATTCTAAATCACTTTTTATCTCATTTAAAACGGAAAAAAGACATCAGCCTCTAATGAGATTCCCCGTAGTTCATTTCACCACGTTATCTGGTCTATTTCCGGTTGCACGATGACGTCATGGTGATAAAAGACAATAAATGAGTTGAGATAACAATGTAAAGCTCCAAGGATTTCAAAAAGATAATCGTTGGTATTAAAACGGAAATAATTAAAATTTCAAAGAATTGAAAGGAAGTAGGATAATGGTGAGGTAGTAAGATTTAACAATGTAAGCTACAGCTTCGCCTACGGATGAACACACTGGCAGACCGATATTAATCATGAAGTAAAATGTTGTCTAGCGGATGCCCCATCTTTACAACTATAATTACAACTCTAGTGTAAGGAAATATAGACATATTCCCCGGGCACCTGCACAAAATCGAAATTATCTTGTCTGATGTTTAATTGGAGACATATTTAAAGAGATTTAAAAGTGGTTTTCTCAACTGTTGACGAGTATCGCATACACTGATACTAAATAGTGTATAGATTTGCACCATTTCATTATTAGTCAGACGTCAACTAAGCTTTTATGACGTCCTTGTAAAAGCTGCTAAATCAAGGTACCTTTGCAACAGTGTTGTCATAATGAGTTTAGTTTTAGTGAATTGCAAGACCCACATACGTTTGTTTGGCTGAAAAAATTAGAATAGTGGGAATCGATGCTATCATTGTCTCCAGTTCACATAAATAATTACAATCACTTTAAGTGAAATAACCAGATGAATGTTCTATCACTAAATTGTCTTTACTAAATATATGAAAAAATCAAGTTTGAAACGGTTTAATATCATTTAGATTATTTTTTTGAATGGAGCAAAAAGAAAAAAAAATTCTTTCTATTATTTTTTTTGTATTTTCAGATATAATATATTGCTGATGATTGTCAACTATTTCTTGCCGATGATGACTCTAGCTTGCACCTATACCCGAATATCGTGGGAGCTGTGGGGAAGCCAAGCTATAGGTGAAACTGTACCGATGCAGGCCGAACGGGTTAAAAGTAAAAGAAAGGTAATTGTCTTTGTGTCACCTTGATAAAATGAATTGAAGGATAAAACTGTGAATTCAGATAATTATGATAATGAGGAAAGATTAAATAATCTCACCGTTTGTTTTACTTGCCGATGTGGACTATCAATCTTAAGGCTTTGAGATTTTCAGTTCTGGGGGCCTCGTTCATTCTAAAAAAAATCTATTATTAGCAACATCTGGCAGATGAAAGCTACCTCTTCACCGAAGAAGTTAGATAAGATTAGGCCTTAAACATGATCACGTGGATAAATTTCTGTTCTGTCGACCAGATGTGCTTTCGAATATTTCACATGTATGGATGGGGAATATATCCAATGATAGATAATAAAAATGTAAGGATTTCTAGGTTAGACTTCACCAATTAATTATGTTTATACTAATTAAAAGTTAATCAGAGAGGAAACTTTACAAGTGAATCAGGAAGCCTGTTAAATTCCGTTCGTCTATACGATTTTGTACCAGGTATGATATAAATACGGATTCTTATGGAAATAAGTGTTTGTTTACTAGTAATGGCCTGTCTACTTTACTTTACTCTTTAGATTCACTGTCAACTTTATATCATCGATTCTTTGACCTCCAAGATAGATTCATAATAGGCTATTTCTTCATGTCTTTTGTAAAATCATCTTCCAGTTCGTGCACAGAGGCCCTATAGCAGTTCATCCAGCTTTATAATGACCATTACATTTGATCAATTCTAGTTAGTGCTGAACTGATCCACAATACGCTATTGGGGTTATATGTGACCTTGATCACATCCATAGTTCTGATACAGAGGCTTAAGGGATCCATTGTGTAGATAGCAATAAGTCTTCTCCATCATATCATTCTGTAAAGTTACTGTCTTCGATGAAACTCTCTTGATTCTGTTCAACATTTTATAATTGCTACTGGCAATTATAGGAATTTGATACTTTGTTGTTGTATGAACAAAAGTTCTTAACATTAATGCATAAGAATATTATACAGAAACAGCATTGTCCAGAAATGAGAAAAGTCTGTAATGGACCTAAATTATTAGCATCTTCGTGCTAAATGTTTTACAAATTTCAGGTCTTTAACCAAAATCCATATTTAATCATTCTTGATATAGAAACTGGATTTTCGCAGTTGGAAGTGTGATGATGAATCCTCCAATTAACATATGACAGTTGACAAGACGAGGATTATTCGTAGCCATAAAAGATATATTAGTATGTTAGTAAAATAGACAAAATAACATGAGAACGAACACCCAAAGTCGAGATGATCCATAATGGGTCGAAACAATCACCCATGAAATAATGAAATAACAATATTCATGGTGTAATAACAATTTTGACCTGTAATTGTTTGAGACTAGATAATGGTGGAGATTCTATTCACAGTGTCTATTACTCTACATGAGATTGTAATCCAGGGACCCATTGTCTACACAAGGATTAACTAACCATCGTTATTGGAAATCTTTACCAACTAATAGCACCTTAGATAAAGTAATTTAGATAATGTATTGCATACGAAGCCATCGTGTTGATCTAGTCGTATATATTATATAAATTGTTTGGTAGATGTAAGGGTCAAGACTTCAGAAGGGGATAACTGTCAATGTTTTATTTATGGTAAATCAAAAAATAAATATGCTCTTAAATTGTAGTACATGCTACCTGTCCGGAAAACAAACTGTACTTAATTTAACTGTCCAGTAATTAGATTTGTCGTGAACAAAGTTCCAAAGTTTTCTTTTTATTATATCTTAACAATATTTTCCCCTTGTGAATATGAAGATACCAATTGATCTACAAGTCATGTTCCCAGAACCATCAAATCATTATATGTAACACATATTGAATAATACCTGTTATACGCATCGGTGTAATAAACCGGAATGCGTGACGACTAATCATATTCTTCCAATCTTCAACCGATGTGTTTAACGACCAATAATATCAATTTAATTCCCATTGGAGTATTTACGGCATATAATTTGATGAAATGTAAGAAATCAAAATCAGTTCGTGTGCTCAAGAGAACGAAAAATTATCTTTTTATGACAAAGCCACAATTCACAATCAGGTTTTCTTGCTACTTGATAAGGTAATGGCTTACTAAAGAGATAGCAAAGGGTGATTTCTTTGTAATGGTTCATTACTCTTTCGGCTTACTTCCTTATCGAGTTATTCAAATGCAAGCGATTCGTTCCACGGGAATTCAAATTCAGACAAAGCTTTTTTAATATGAACTGAGGGCTCGGGCAATCAGTGTGCGCTTTCATCTCTTTTTGTTTTTCTACATCAGGACTTCTGATTTGCTAGATGCAAACACACTAAAATGAAAAAGGTTTTTCAAGTTTGAATAACTATATGGAGTTGCAGTGTGGCATAATAACTCCTACGGAAACATACTATTTAATTTGTAACTTAGGAGTAATAGTTATAATGATTATTGTTGATAAGTTCTATTTCATTCCTTTGATTATTTGTAAATGTCAGGTTGTCTCGACCTTTAGTATTTGTATTTGTATTCCTAATGGTCCACGAGGATGTGGCATCGTTACTAACGTGCTGATGAGATGTTGATAAATTGTGGTCTATACGGTGGACACCAGAGCGTAGCTGTACCTATAATTAAGATAAATAAGACAAATTTATGGATAGATACTTCTGATATTTATTACCTCAACGTTTCAATGTGGTTCTCACACTGTCATCAGGAATATAATTAAGATGTTTGCTGTTTGCTTTGCAGGTAGTAAAGATGATGATTGTAGTTGTATTGATATTTGCTGTCTGTTGGTTTCCAATGCATCTATATTTTATTCTAACCAATGTCAAACCATCTATAGTCTTTATGGAGAACATTCAGCAGTTTTATTTGATAATCTATTGGCTGGCTATGAGTAATTCCATGTACAATCCTATAATATACTGTTGGATGAACGCCCGGTAAGTACTTTCCAACGCTATCTAAAGTTATGTATTGATGTATCAAATGATGTGTTCAAAAGTGTTAATAATTCGGTAAGGAGTTAAGGATCATGGTTTTGACATGGTTTTTGAATATTTTGGAATTTTCTGCTCAAATTATTTTGACAGTATCATTCTATTACCTGCATTTACTATTCGGTTATCAGACTTTGCTAACATTGCTAACAGAAAATATATAATATATATATATTTATAAAAAAAACTTTCTATAAATCTTGTATTGAATATCAAGCAATGACTGATTATATTCATGCTATGCAATGTGTTATGATAGCAATGTATTATGTATAAGGCATTAAGAACAGTGTTATTAATTTGCCACTGATTCTTTTTAAATCTTTAACGTATAAAACAGTATCGTCATTATTCAGAAAACCGATATGATGAATGAGCATGTACGTGAAAAACGTTAATTGCCATCATTATTTTGTCACTTCTTTAATATGCATCTGATAATTGGATCTAATCGTCGCGTTGGTGTGATTAATGATACTCTGTATTGCCTACAAGTCGACTCTTGGTCCCTTATCAACGTTTGATGAAATTGATTTGCTTTTATGACAGTGGGTTAAAGTTTGAGCGTTTCCATTACAAGGTACTTAAGAGATTTTAGCAAATAAATTGCATTTATTCAAATTTCCAAAAGAACGTCATCGTTGGCGAGGGACGAACCCGAGATTATACGAGATTATGTTCTTGTACAACCATCATGTGTTCTTGCACTGTATAATTGGGTCCATTTGTAGCTTTAGTCACCATATTTTGCACTGTTCATTTCCAAAACACTCAGTTGACGCAAATCGTTTGAAATTTTTTCAGATTTCGGCAAGGGTTCGTCGCATTTTTCAGCTGTAGTCTTTATCGAAGAGATAGACAATTTATCGGTCACAAAGTTTTATATTCTGCTCGATTACAATCATATACAAACCACTATGTGTAATCACCATTGTGACGTCGAGGATTTGCGTCATTCGAAATGGTCTCAGATTTGTATTCACGACCTCGCCACCAAGTGCTGTAACATTACACCAAGATAAAGTGACCTAATGCTACTTATTTAAGATAGTGGATGCTCCAAAGTTACTTGAAATTTGGCTTCTTTCAGATTTCGCCATGGGTTTATAAGATTTTTCCGCTGTTCACCATGCCGACAAAAGAAGAAACGCCACGTTGGTCATGATAGAGCTTTTTACTCGACTCGTCTCAGCAGTGCATCGGAGAAATATGAACGTAACGGATCGCTGATGCACACGCAGATGGATAGTTTGGATGATACAACGTCTACGCCAAGTGTGTACAGAATGCACCCAATAAAACAACGTACAATACGTGATGACTCAATCTGAAGGACAGTCTAAAAATTGTCAGAATACTCAACACCAACAAAGACCGGCTTACCTGTATTTAGTTTCAATTCAAACAGTGGAATATGACTACAGAAGTACATAAAGAAAGATTTATATTCAGTTTTTAAGTGTGACGGACGTGACGAATCGTTTGTGTGACTAAGACATGTTAAACCGTGCAATATCGATCGTATGAAGTATGATTGTATTTTGTGACGCTCGAATATGGAGAGTGTAAAAGTTAAATGTTACAATGTTCGGTATAAATCGTGATACGCGTGGATTTGTAAAGGTCACGAAAGTGCATGAACCAGTTCCTCGGCGCTGTATTGAAATTGATGTAAGAAATGTTATGTAACATTCGTTTATCGTTTGGGGGAAAAACTATGTGATGAACATAGGCAACTTTTCAACAAGTTACTCATATTTGAACATAGAGGAGATTTGCAATATTTGGACTTGTGAATTTGAACAATTGTTTATTACCAAAAAGCGCAGCACATGACAGTATAATATTGAAGCCGTGTGTTTAATGAAGTTCATAACCTTGTACATTTTTGCAACTCATTATTATCAAACAAGTGTTAAGAATATTAGAGTGGTAAACGAACGTAACCGTGAAAAATTCCTGAAAATGAAAATAAATATGGTGTTACACACTCAAACCTGACACGAGATATAGCTATATTGAAACACTAATGCCACCCTGACAAATGCAAGATTTCTGTCCATACAATGACACACACAGGTCTTTCAGGAACTAGCGTGAGATGTGTGAAGGGTTCGTTGATACGTGCCATGACGTATAGAAAATCTTAAATTTTCGAACTTTTGCGTCCATGTGAGTGCCACTCACGTAACCCATGTTACCAACACTGTGCAAACTCGGCGCACACACTGCTAACGTGTGAACAACGCTTGCACAAATAATTCTTAACCCATGTGTAAACAAGTATTTTCATTGCGTGTCAATGTGTACTTCGAAGCAACGAAATTTACACTCCTTGTCACAACCATTGCGCGGCATTGAGGGAACAAAAATCGTGAAAGTGTCAGGGTGGCAAAACTCACAATTGACCTAAAATCTCAATGTTTTCGTATATGACTATGACAAACCTCTCTAACCTAGCTAGCAATTTGTAACATTCTATTTAAGAAAAATACTCTTCTTTGTGGGTTTTCCTGGTATCTGATCCTCGTTCCTCCAAAAACAAAATACACCCAATAAATTCATAGTCAAATATAATACGAGAATACTATAGATTAGCCTATATTGTGAACATTTTTTCTAGCAACATAGACTTTTTATGACGTCTGCTGAGACTAAATTTGTAAAATAATGTACATATTCATGTATTTTAAAATACATTCCACTACATTCTTAACGCCCTTTTGTTTCAGACAAAACCTATTAATTTTGTATATATTTTCTTTTAAAGGAATACAGGCGTCAAACTTAACGTTATCACTATCATATTATACTACAGAATAATTTTAACTACACGTTTAACATAAAATAAACGGAAGTGATATGATTAAAATTTGAAATATTTTTAGATTTTTGTTACTGTCTAAAATCGAGATCTAAAAAATTTCGTAAGCCAAAGCAAGTTAAAGCGAATGTTTAGAAGACTGTATTCCTTTACAAACTGTTCCCTCCATTATTGTGGCAATAATCCTCATAGTCTGTCAATGTATGTTTTATGTAATCGAAAGATAAAAAATACGGGAAATGCTTCCGCTTACACTCCACATCAAAAATACCTCTCACACATTAAAAGCTAGTCATTAGATCACCAAAGAACAACATCAAGGCATACTACCGTTTAGAATGACCACAAAGTAAAATGTTTTTAATAGAGATTCTAATCTTTAGCCATGTCACCTGGTAAGACTAACTGATGAATATATTCACTTGTCGACCAAGAAAATTTATGTCAACTCTAAGAGGTTGTACTCCTTTTGTTAAGGACAATGCTTAGGAGGAGAGTCTAGTTGTCTGTATAGCCTAGAGTTGTTCAGTTTTCTTAAATAACTTCCACGTCGTGTCTAAATTATTATATTTTTAGGTATGATGTTTAAGATAACAATCCTCTGAACACTGTAAGTTCAGATTCAAGATGGTGTCCAATCGCACAACATGACATATACGCCAATTGTCAATAAGCATATTTTCTGTTACAAAACTATGTTGTTCACTGTTGTTGTTCAGATATATTATGTAGCTACATCATACCGAAACCAGAAAGTTCCAGCGTGATAGGATATCCATCTGGTAACCAACATCCAACCATCAACAACCATCATATGGACGGGATGGCATACAATAGCTTCGTTCTATTGTTTTAAATTTAATAATCTATAATATTATATTTGAGCCATATTTTATAACCTGTTGTTAGGTGGGAACAATTTGTGAATGGGAATTATAATATATAATTATACCAAACCCTGACAGACCGATAAATTTGTTCTCGATTTCCAAGATGTAAATAGCGCCACCACATTCGGTTTGAAAAAAAAGCACATTCATTCATTCATTTCTCCAGTCATTTTCATTCTTTTTTTTGTTGTAGTTTTTCTTTTTGTCGCGACGGGAACAGAACTTACAAAACTGCACTCTTACAATACTTTCTGTTCACGTCGATGAAATGTGATTCTGGTGGCAAAATAAAATTACAGTGGGAACAAATGTATCTCTGAAATCAGCAGACGTCGAGAATAAACTAATAGTTATAGTCAATATTTTGATTTTGTATAAAATCCCCGACAAGTCTTTGTGATGCCCTAATTTCTTATTGTTTGTTTCCATTATTGTTTATTTATTGTAATAAAATTATTGGTTTCTTAGATTTGTATGTTATTATTTTTCTACGGTTTGTCGTCAGAATTTCTGTTAACATTTGAAAACTGCATCAACATCTCTTATCCTAGAAAACACAATCGTACAATTTGGTGAAAGACGAGGGATTTGTACGCTGTATTTTGTTCTGAATAATAATAATACTAATAATAATATTCCATCTTGTATAGCCCTGGTACATTCAGTAAAACTACTCGGTGGCGCCCATTTTCAAATAAAATATTTGTAAAACATAGTTTAAAAGTAAAGCAAAGGTTAAAAGTTAAATCACTGATTAAAAGCCTTATTAAAGTGGTATGTTTTAGGTACTTTTTGAAATAGAGCAAGTTTGTTTGATGGATAGGGGCAGTTTATTCCATTCATGAGGGGAAGCGAAACAGAAAGCTCTCTCTCCAAATCTCGTATTGGTTTTCGTTGGTTGTAGTGCGTTTGAAGATCTGAGGGAGCGTTTAGGAATATATAGCTGTTTTAAATCTTTAAGGTATAGGATGGTCGTTGAGGCAGTTGCAAGTGAGAGTGTTGATTTTAAAACAAATTCGATAGTTGATAGGTAGCCAGTGAAGATCTGCAAGGATGGGGGTTATATGTTCTTGGGTATTAGTTTTTGTGTCGATTCGGGCTGCTTTATTTTGGATTGACTAAAGTTAGTGTATAAGGTATGATGGTAAGCCGTATAAGAGTGAATTTGAAGTCTAGTGCGGATATGACGAAAGCATTAATTAAAATTTTGGTAGAGTTGGTGTTTAAAAAGTTTCTGATCCTGTCAATTCGGTACAGGTGGAAGTTGGCTTTCTTGCATACAGCTGAAACATAATTTTTCATTTTCAATGCTTCGTCTAGTAACACCCCAAGATTTCTAACACAATTGGTGGTTTCTATTTGTGTGTTCCCAACCAATACAGAGTTGCCCTTGAGAAGCTTGGAAAAGAATATTGCCTCTGTCTTGTCATCATTAAGTTTGAGGAAGTTGGACTTCATCCAGGTCCGAAGATCTTCTATACAGGTTTTCAGCTTTTTAATGTTGTTGTTGGTAGCATCAACCTCCACATAAAGTTGGGTGTAATTTGCATACATGCGGTGGTGAAGATTATGACGTTGCATAATGTCGGCAATTGGTGTGGTATAGGCTGTGAACAACAGTGGACCTAGAACTGACCCTTGTGGCACGTCGTATCGGAGATATTTTGGTTGTGATCGGATGTTGTTGATGGTGACTTCTTGTTTTCTATCCGTGAGGTATGATCGGAACCAATCAAAGGCAACGCCGATCACGCCAAGTCTTGAGAATAAACGATCCAGAAAAATCGACTGATCGATCGTGTCAAAAGCTGCACTCAGGTCCAGCAAGGCTAAAGCTACAGATTTGTTGTTGTCAACAGATGACACGACATCGTTGTACACACGAACTAAGGCAGACTCGGTGCTATGACATTTTCGGTAGGCTATTTGGAATTTTGCACCCAAACATTTACTGCAAGATGATGGCAAAATTGTCCAGCAACAACCTTCTCAATAACTTCTCAAGATAAATAATAAGTTAAATAGAATCCCTGATAGACTTGTATTCTTTTTCGCTTTTTCCAACGGCCAGATACAATAAATATGATCGGATAGAATTGGGCAGTCGACATTTCGCCGAAATGTTATCTTTATGCGGCCATAAGATCGACCGGTAATTCTTGAGTGGAGTTGTCAAGGCCAATATAAGTTCTTTTGTGTGTTGAGACGAGGCCGATCTAGTTTGACCAGTGTGGTCTGAAAGAGAATTACTGATATAAACATGATTACGTTATAAACTCATGGTTTTATTACGTTCCAAATGCCGTTTCATGTTCGTTAAAGTATTAAATCCTTATATTATATTTAGACCCATTTTCTCTATTCGAAAGTGCCGTTTCTTCTTGCATTGTAAGGTCTATTCCCTTGTGCTACAATGATGCTTTTGTTAAATTTAAAGTATTATGTAGTGTAGACTTTGCTACGGAACCATAGCCGGTCAAAATATGACACTACATTGTGGATCGCAATTCCAATAATAAGTGGTTTCCACTTAATAGAAATCATCCACCAAGTTAATCTATCTAAAGAACATAAAATTAGTCATGACATATCTCAAGATAAAGACTTTCTCAATGTT